TAATATTAATATATAATTATAAAATGTTCACAATATATTTATGTATTTTAAAGCAAGAGAAAGTGTTACCCAAATAATATTTTTGACATTCCAAAGCAGTGTCCAGATTTTCCAGTGCCAAGTGAGCTAATCCCAAATTGCAGTAAGCTCTACCCATTCCAGATTTATCCTGCAGGTCCTTTGCTAGCGCTAAATCTTGATCATAATATCTAACTGCCTCCCTATGATTTCCCAGACAGTAGTGAGCATATCCTAGGAAATGGCATGCTTTAGCCTCTCCCTCAACATCGTGCAATTCTTGTGACAGCATTAGATAATGTTCATAATATGGTACCGCCTCTTCAAATCTGCCTCGCGAAGAAAGACAATTGGCGAGATTTAGCAGGGCACACGCCTCACCAGCCGTGTCTTTCAGTTCGCGCGCTATAGCTAAATGAGCTCTGTAGTGCCTCAACGCTGCTTCGTGACCTTGCACTGCCTGATACGCGACTGCCAAGTTTCCGTGTGTACTGGCTTCTGAACTACGATCGTTTACCTGAACAACAGATTTTTCGTTAACAAAGAATATCATAATAATAATATATTTATCTCGAGAAACTTACCTCTTTGCTTATCGTTAATTCCTGTTTGTGATATTTGATGGCTTGTTCATAATAACCCAAAGCATTATAAGCGTTTCCGATGTTTCCGTACGCTCTACCCATACCGGCCTTATCTCCTAACGATCTCGCAATTCCTAAGTGCGCTTGATGTAATTTTAAGGCGGCATCGTGCTCGCCGAGTAGTTGATAAACTATGCCTAGATTGCTGCAGGCTCGTCCCTCGGCTACCTTGTCCTTCGTGACCAACGCGACATCGAGCTGTCTTTGATGCCAGAGCTTGGCTTGTGCTAAATCACCTAGATATTAAATAATAAAATTATGTTAATATAAAGGAAAGAAATAGAAATATGTTAATATATTATATTTTTCAATAATAATAATAATCATTATTACCTGCACATCTGGCGGCATGACCTAATCCCGCATATGCTCTGGTCTCTATCGCTCTGTCTCCGAGTTCTTGAGCTATTCTCAAAACGTTTTCGTGATAGGCCATCGCCTGCCCGAAATTTCTACGATAGTGATGAGACGATCCCAAGTTACTGAAGGCCCTCGCCTCTTCTACGCGATCACCCAATCGTCTAGCTATCCTCAAATGTTGCGTATGGCAGTCGACAGCACTTTCAAATTCGCCCATTGCTAAATAGACTGCTCCGACATTACCGATCTCGCGAGCCTCTTGCAGTCGATCACCCATCTGTTTTACCAATTGCACGCACTGTTTATGGGAAGCCAGGGCGTTCGGCAAATCGCCGATCGCCGTGTAGACATGTCCCAGACTGGTCAAGGCCGAAGCTGCTGCCTGCGTATCTTTGCATTTCATAGCTAGAACAAGTTGGTACCTATGAGCCGTTAAAGCCTCCTTGAAGCTACCTTTGCTGAAATAAGCGGAGCCTAAATTTCCATGGGCTCTGCACTCGCCCTGCGTGTCCCCCAAGGAACGTGCCACTCCTGAAAGTTTTAATCAGTGCATAAGTTTGTTTTACGCTAAATTCACAAATTACAAATTGGAAAGAAATTAGCAAAACTTTTCGTTCCAAAAAGAATTTATCTGTTACTCACCTAAATCCTGTTGCATGTAGTTGATTGCTTTGTCCAGAGAGTTTAGTGCCCAGTATGCGCTGGACAGAGCAGAGAATACAGAGCCCCTCAATTTCAAGCTGCATGAACCGATGGTGAGCGCGGCCTCCAGCACGCCAGCGGCCGCCCTGTATTGTCCAGCTCCAAGCAGCTCTTGACCAACCACGGATATTACGACGAATGGAGACTCGTCGAGTTTCATAGCGCGTAATTGTTGGAACGTCGGCTCCAAAGTTGGTCGTAATGGAGACTTCAGAGATGCTTCTACCAAACCCGATAATAATTGATGATTGGATGCGTCGTGAGCTAATCCCGTGCTGAAGGCAACGAGTGCCTCTCCATGACGTCCTAAGCATTGCAGTGCTACTCCTTGACGGTAGTATGCCTGAAAATCGATTATTATAGATCTGAAATTAAAGATGTACGGAAGAATATGAATAAGAATGCATACCTTTGGCCACTGCGGACTCAGCTCGGTAGCTCTAACAGCATCCTGCAATGCAAGCGCGAATAATCCCATTTTTAGCCTGGCGGCTGATCTGTTTGAGTATAACACATGACTGAGAGGGTCCAAGGCAAGAGCTTCTGTGTATAATGTCGCGGCCAATGCGTAATCTCCATTCTGGCATGCCGTATTACTCCTGCGTACCGTTTCTAAGAATAGTGCCCTGGATCCAGCGGCCAAGGCCGACGTACCTTCGGGCTCCACCTTCATCAAATTGACACGATTTTATTTTTTGAGCAAATAATTTCCAGGTTTTATCAATAATTAAATTTATCAATAATTTATCACTAAGTTTATATTAAAATAAGGAATCGTATATTTCTAAAGATTCATATACAAAAATTATAAGCGATTAAACATATTTATTATTTTCACTCTTAATTGCGCGATAAAATCAATAATAATTTAAAAAATAACATCACAATTAGTATTACAATTAATAATAATAAGATTAATAATAAGATTATATTTAAAAAAATAAAATATAATTTTATAAGAGGAATTTTATAGAGGCCAAATAGAGTTAAAAATAAATAAATACTATCAGATATTTTTTATCTTAGTAATTATAAATAATTAATATGTATAAATTATTTTTTTTTGGAATGAGAGACAGAGAGATTAATATGAGAATTAATATCAAAATAAAATACTTTATTAAGAGAAGAAATTAATGAATACTTAGATAGTTAAAGGAGACCAATCAAAACAAGCAATAAGAGTAATGTGTAAGCGAGAGCCAGATCCTAATCCAGGAGAGAGATAGAACCCAAAGTAACAACAGGAATCTCATAATTACCTCAGAGATATCCCTATGAGACATTGTTTAAGACGAGCTAGTAGCATTCTCTGGCATGGGCATCATCTGCAGCGTGCTGGCATGAAGATCAGGCTTCGGATTGAACGTGCGATTCCTCTATCTCTCTTCGTCCCTCTCGCTCTCCCACGACGGGACTTACCTCGGCACGTTCCTTTGACGTTCACTTGTAAACTAAACTCTTTACATGTACGCGCGTTACATTGTTTCACCGCGCGCGAGCGGTAATAAGGGGATTTCTTTTCGCTAGAACGGGCAAATGGGACCGATTAATAAAAAAGGAGGGAGGCAGGCGTCTTAGGGGGGCACCCACTGCATTCCTCAGGCACAGCCATCTTGGAATGTGACCCCGGGTCCCCCCGTCGGGCCCAGAGCGGGGCCGGCACTGCTGCCTGCCGCCTGCCCGGTGCTGTTTGCTTCTTCTATGCGCTCTTCTCTTCCTTCTCCTCCAGTCCATCAAGCCCGCGATGAGGCCCCGGCCGTGTGTTGCCCCGCTCGTTTTGCAACACTATCATCAGCATACGAGCGTGTAAAATGTGCACGCATATATACATACATATAAATATACACATATACGTGTGGAAACATTCGCCACGCGCGCGAAAATACGGGGCCCGCGACGAGGATCCCAATGCACCGCTTTGTAACAGCAGCCGCTTTCGCGCTTCGAGTAAGGGGATCGTCTTCATCTCTCTTTGCAAATCCCATATAGATTTGTTAATTAATTGTCTTATAAATTGAGGAGAATCTCTTGGAGAATCGACGCTCTTTGAACTCTTTTGAGACTCGGCGTTAACTCAGAGATACCGTT